CGAAGCATACGTCGAAACCATTGTGTAAGGTGAGTTACATGTATTGGATGTCGACGCTGGCGAGCTCGAATGTAACAAGTCCATCTACGGGCCAGTGTTGACGGAGCATGACCACGCGAGAGCAAACGGCGGACAAGCATGGTATATATATATATATATATATATATATATATGTATATATATACACATATCGTCAGGTCAGGCGGCCAATAAGACACTAAGCCCACCCCCGCGTCCGGGGGGACGCGTGGATGAACGCATACATAAATAAAATAAGCTGCTTGTTTTGTTGTGGCGGTTGCGTTGACTCTTTTGGGTGAGTTGCATTCTTAGCTCAGTTGGATAGAGCAACAACCTTCTACATGTTCAAATCCTGTAGGATGCTGAATTCTTCGGGAGAGTGGCCGAGTGGTTAAAAGCGACAGACTGTAAATCTGTTGAAGGTTATATTTCTACGTAGGTTCGAATCCTACCTCTCCCACTTTGTGGCCTTCATACATTCATGAATTATATATATATCATCAAACAGAGATGTCCGGTAAATCGTAGGCAGAGAGAATGAAGAGGACGCGAAACGAGGGGCTATATATGTATATATATCTATATGGGTTCATCCTTCTAATGAATCGGCGAAACTCCGACGAAATAGTTTGTCACAGTCCCTCGTTCCTTGTCCTCTTCTCCCTCTCTTCCTACAGTTTACCGGACAACTCTACTTGACTATATACATCGACTCATCAGAAGACTGAACCCTCAACACTAAGTCAACAATCTGCAGAATCTCCTAACTGATTACACTGTAAGTTATAATTCACCTTAACCTCGGTTGTGGTTAAGCATCAATGACTGTCCGACAACTGATTCCTTGAGGTGGGCACTAACCACTGCCCTCAAGGTACCGTGACGAAAATCTAAGTAGACTATCATTCACCCACACCAAATAAAAAACTTCACAGATTGTCGGTTCACATCCCATCACAAGCCAGAAAAACACCTCCAAAACAAAGGTCTATCACAACAAAAAAAAAAAACTCTACACACGTCATTGGCACTAGAGGCACAACATGGGCGCGTAGTGACTGCCCCGACCACTACCGCTCGACTTGACTGGAGAAAATTGTAGCAGGGTGCTAGCGAAGTCATGGTATATATCGTCAAACAAAGTTGCCCAGTAAACCTTAGATAGGGAGGGAGTATATATGTATATATATATCTATGTATTATATATAGATATATATAGATATATACAGGGTTGCCGGGATTCGGGACGGGCCGAACGCCCGAACGTACGGGACCGCGTCGAACCGCGTCGGGACCAAAAAAAAAAAAAAAAACTTTTCAAGAAATTCAAAAAACAAAATATGTTATGGAAAAACTTAAACTAAACAACATTTGCCTGGGCACTACATCCAAATTCTTTACCAAATTTGAATTAAAAATCAAATACAAAAAATAAACACTATAATAAAAATAAAAAAAAAATAAAAAGAGAATTAAAATGAGTGAGTGTGCCAGCACCTTTTCGACACCGCCATCTTTAATTATTTTTTGGCATTGACAAACACCCTGAAAATTTACAGATATGTAGTTTACATAATCAATAACTCAATTAAAAAGTTTCAAAAAATAATAAAAGTTTTTAGGCCCCGAAATCAAGTGAAAACCAAAAGTAAAAAGTGAAAAGAAACAAAATAGTGAGTGGGTGAGCACGTTTTGACACCCCCATCTTTGACGATTTGTAATGTTTTTTTGCGTAAGCAGAATGGCTTCAAAATTAATAGGGAACTCACAAAAAACAATGCAGAAAAAAAAACTTATTTTTAGACCCCGAAACAATTTTTAGCGGGGGCCAAACCTGGAGGTGTTCGGCCCCCGAACGGGACCCCGAACGCCCGAACGTTCAGGGGCCGCCCCGCCTTTTTTTTTTTTTTTTTTTTTAAATCTTTCATTACTTTCACTTGCGACGCCCCTCCTTCTCCTCCTCTATTCCCTCTTCCTCTTCTTCATCTTCATCGCCGTTGTCCTCCTCCTCCTCCTCCTCCTCCTCTCCCTCTTCCTCTTCTTCATCTTCATCGCCATCCTTCACCTTCTTGTCCTCTGAATCCTTCTCTTCTTTCTCCTCGTCCTCGTCCTCGTCGTCCTCCTCCTCCTCCTCCTCCTCGCCTTCTACATAGGGAGATATGCAGGTACGTAGGTGTGTAGCTAGATGAGTAGATAGAGAGGTATGCAGATATGGAGATAGGAACATAGGTAGATAGATGGATACATACATAGATAGATAGGTGGACAGATAGATAGGGAGATAAGAAGAATGGCAGACAGATTGGTGGATAGGGAGATAGATAGATTACATTACATTATACAGATAGATAGATAGATAGATAGATAGATAGATAGATAGATAGATAGATAGATAGATAAATAGATAGAGAGATAGATAGATATAGATAGATAGATTGTAGCTAGATGAGTAGATAGAGAGGTATGCAGATATGGAGAT